TTATTGTTAGTGTTCAGTAATGACTGTTTAAACTGTTGTTGTTTTATTTATTTTGAATGTTTAATGTTCATTCAATGATTAAATCATCATTGTCATTGATATTTGTGATATTATTTCATTTTTGTTATTAAATTATGTTATTATTTGATGACATGATACCACGTTATTCCACGTTGATATGAATAACAAAATATGAATAACAACCAACACAACAACAAGTCATCACATCATCCTCATTAAGTATTTAAAGGAACTTGAACAAATAACAAGCATTTAGAAATAAAACATGGACCCAAACAAATGGACAGATGCAACTGTTCAAATGTTCAAAGAATCACAAGAAATAGCATTTGAAAGAAAAAATGCATATATTATGCCAATTCATATGATGGAAGCAATTGTTGAAGAAGAATCAAATATTGTTATCCGAATAGTTGAAATGATAGGAGGTGATGTTAATAAATTAAAGAAAGAAATAAAAGAAACAATGAATAAAATCCCAGTTCAAAATCCACCACCAGTTGATATTGGACTTCATCCAACAACACAACAAGTATTAAGAAGAGCAATAGAAAAACAAAAAATAATGGGAGACTCATATCTTGCAATAGATGTAATTGTAATGTCATTAATGGAAGAGAAAGAAATTAGTACAATAGTAGGAAATAGTGGAATTAATGTGAAAGAATTTAACAAAAAAATAACAGAAATGAGAAAAGGACAAAGTGTAGAAACAAAAGAAGCAGAAAGTCAATATGAAGCATTAAAGAAATATGGAAATGATTTAACAGCACAAGCAGAAAGTGGAAAGATGGATCCAATTATTGGAAGAGATGAAGAAATTAAACGAGTTATTCGTATTTTATCAAGAAGAACAAAAAATAATCCAGTATTAATAGGAGAACCAGGAGTAGGTAAAACAGCAGTAGTTGAAGGACTTGCACAACGAATCGTTAAAGGAGATGTTCCAAGTAATTTACAATGTCGAGTTATTGGATTAGATATGGGAGCATTAATAGCAGGAGCACAATATAGAGGACAATTTGAAGAAAGATTAAAAGCAGTAATAAAAGAAGTTAAAGAAAGTAAAATACCTATTATATTATTTATAGATGAAATTCATACAGTATTAGGAGCAGGAGCAACAGGAGAAGGAGCAATGGACGCAGCTAATATTTTAAAACCAATGTTATCAAGAGGAGAATTACGATGTATTGGAGCAACAACATTAGAAGAATATAGAAAATATGTAGAAAAAGATCCAGCATTTGAAAGACGATTCCAACAAGTTTATGTAAAAGAACCAAGTGAAGAAGATACATTATATATTCTTCGAGGAATACGAGAGAAATATGAAAATCATTATGGATTAACAATTACAGATTCAGCATTAGTCTCAGCAGCAACATTAAGTAAAAGATATATTAATGGAAGATTTCTTCCAGATAAAGCAATTGATTTAGTTGATGAAGCATGTGCTACATTATTTACACAAAAGAATTCACAACCAGAAGAAATAGATAAATTAGAAAGAAGAGAAACACAATTAAATGTAGAGAAAATAGCATTAGAAAGAGACATTAAAGAAAGTGATGAAGATCATAATAAAATGATTAAAGAAAGACTACAAGAAATTGAAAAAGAATTAAGTGAAAATAAAGAGAAATTAACAAAATTACGAATTAATTATGAAAAAGAAAAAGGAGGAAGTGAAGAAATGAAAGAACTTGCAACGAAAATAGAAGCCATGAAACATAAAGCAGAAAGTACTAAAGATTTAGAAGTAGCAGCTGATTTAAAATATTATGCAATACCAGAAGCAGAAAAAAGAATGAAAGAATTAAAGGAACAAAATAAAGAAACAACAATGATATCATTACAAGTTACACCAACACAAATAGAAGAAGTAGTTAGTAGATGGACAGGAATTCCTGTTACTAAAATGAATCAAACAGAGAAAACAAGACTGATGAAATTAGAAGAAGAACTACATAAACGAGTAATAGGACAAAATGAAGCAGTAACAGCAGTTAGTGATGCAATTATTCGAAGTAGAGGAGGATTAGGAAATGAAAAACGACCAACAGGTAGTTTTATGTTTTTAGGACCAAGTGGAGTAGGAAAAACAGAATTAGCAAAAGCATTAGCAGTTGAATTATTTGATGACGAACAAAATATAGTTAGAATAGATATGAGTGAATATATGGAAAGTCATAGTGTATCAAGATTAATAGGAGCACCACCAGGATATGTAGGATATGAAGAAGGAGGACAATTAACAGAAGCAATTCGTAGAAAACCATATAGTGTAATATTATTTGATGAAATTGAAAAAGCACATCCACAAGTATTTAATGTATTATTACAATTATTAGATGAAGGAAGATTAACAGATGGAAGAGGAAGAACAGTTGATTTTAAGAATACTATTGTTATTATGACATCAAATTTAGGAAGTGAAATAATAATGAAAGGAGTAGAAACAGAAGGACAAGTTAGTAGAAAAGTTAAAGAAACAGTAATGGAAATAGTAAAGAAAACATTTAAACCAGAGTTTCTTAATAGATTAGATGATATTATAATATTCTCACCACTTTCAGAGAAAGAATTAAAAGAAATAGTTAAATTACAAATGGGAGAAGTGATTAAAATGATTAAAAAGAGATATCCATTAAGTGAAGTAGAAATGACAGAATCAGCAATAGAAGGAATCATTAAATCAGGATATTCAATAGCATATGGAGCAAGACCAATGCGACGGTATATAGAAAAGACAGTAGTAACTTCAATAACAAAATCAATAATAAGTGGAATGATGAAAGAGAAGAATAAAATTCAAATAGATTATGAAAATGATAAGATTCAAGTCAAAATAACAGATAAATGATAATAATAATTGAATGTATTTAGTAAATAAAATTATTTGAAAGATAAATTAAAGAATAATATAAAATACTATTCATTTCAATAACAGTGATTGTTTTAATATGAACACCATTTTATTAACAACCATCAATAATACTTATTCTACCTCATTTGTGTTCATTTTCACTCAAGAAAATTGAATTTTGAATACAAAATTAAGAAAATAATATTATTATAAGTTGTAAATTCATAACAATTGATAAATAAAGAACAAAGGAATAAAAAAAAACAATGAAAATTATCTTTGTATAAGGATGAAAATTATAAATTATGTTCTCATTTAAATATAAAATATGATTTATGATAAACTACTTAACATTTCATAATCATAAAATATTTAAATTATAATATTTGTAGATTAGTATTGGTTCATAATTAGTACTTCAAAAGATAGTAGGTGTTTGATAATACTGTTTATTACATTCATCATCTTATATATTAAACAATTATAAAATAAGATGATATTCATTAGTTAATGAATAATTAAATAAATACACTAAATGATAAATGAAATAATACAGTCAATGGTCTATTTCTTTCAATTCATTTGAAATGATAAAATAATCAATAAATTATGAAAAAGAAAGTTTATTATACTTTTTAAATAATGTCTGGCTTCAATTATTCTTATAATCTCTTATTATTCAATAATAATAAACAACTAAAAATTCAAGAATTAATGATGTTCTGGTCAATCTAAAATAAATGAAAAGATAAAGCAATACTAAAAGTTATCTAATATCAAATCCAACCTATAGTAAATTCAATTTTATTATTAAGTTTCATATTGTTAAAGTCATATTGGTATATGTATAAAATTAGAATTGATTATAGTCTTCATTATCATAGTATAAAAGAATCAAAATCCAATGATATAACGAAAGAAGAATATGAAATATCTTGATTGTTTTATTTAGTGAAGGTAATTCTTCTTGTTAGAGATATGAGTGACATTAAAAAAACTTGATGAGTATTGAATAATTCAGAATTATTATTAAATCATTGAAAATATCAACAGGTTATATCAACCAAAGGCATTAATATATTTTATTCAATATTTAATCCAACAATATGTATTTTTAATTTACTTAGTATTCATGAGTTGGTATTAATGAAAACTGGGAAGATTAGAAACTAATTCTTTTGTTCTTTCATTATTTTCAGTCAGTCATTAAATTGCATGTATAAAAGTTAGTATACAATAATTCAAAGACAATCAAGAAACTATACTCTGCACATTCAAAAATTTAACTCTTTAATTTATTTGTCTAGTGATTTACCCATTCTAGAAAGAGTAATCAAACTTATTAATAAAGTTATGAAATAATCATTAAAATAATCTAATAAAAGATTCATATCAGAATTTGATGAAATATATAATACATTAAATACGGAAGAGTTATTAATGTATCAAAGAAGAATTATAATTCAAGAATCTCTTTCTGAGGATAGATTCAAACTTCTTATAAATATAACATTACTTTTATGTTCTTCATTCAAAGAAGAAGGAACATTAAATACACTAAAAAGTATTAACGAATATTCGTCAAAAGTAATTGTATCAAACAATTGTTCTCTTGCTCACGTTATGACTCTTGTGTTGCTTTGTTTAGTGTTATGGATGGTGCCAATATAGACATTCCACAAATGACCAAGCTCGTATGTTTGCAATCTTGTCAATGGTCTTTTTCCTTGTTTCAACAATCATTATAGTCATAAGCATTGGATTTAGCTTTGTTATGATTTTTATTAGTGTTGCAGCTGCTGCAGCAACAACCGTTGATCCTTACTAATTGGACTCCATTCTTTTCTGATTTTCCATTAAAGCCATTTTGAGAAGAATTAATTAATTATAGTTTTAAAATAAATGTGTTTTATATAACACAATTTATGTTTTATGAGAGAAAATGAAGAATCAAATAATCAACGTAAAATGAAGAGTAATTGACTAAGATTTTTAAGTGGGAAAAGAAGGAAAAATCCAATTTGTTCCAAGGGAATTTTCTTTTTCCATTTCTTCTTTAATATCCAAAAAGAAAGAAAAGGTAAAAAACTAGAACTGAAACAGTTAGTACATGTCAACAGAGAAGGTGGTACTATCAAATACACGACGAGATGCAATCTTCAAACAACTAAAAACTAAAAATGGAAATAATGTTTGTTTCTTTCTATCTTTCGTTTCAAATACGTTATAACAATAAAAGAAAAACTCTTCTTCAATTTAAAATTCAAAAAAAAGAACAAATAAATAACATCTGAGTAGTATTGTTTTGAATGTGGAACTCCAAATCCTTCTTGGGCATCTGTTCCTTATGGAATTTTCATTTGTATTCAATGTAGTGGTAAACATCGTGGACTTGGTGTTCATCTTTCATTTGTACGTTCAATTGACATGGACACATGGACAGATAAACAAATGAGCAATATGATTAATGGAGGAAATGACAAGTTTAAGGCATACTTAAAATC